GACATATCCCTCCTCCCGACAGGTCGGGTGGGCTGCCCAACAACTCCGCCACCCACGGCTTCGTCGCCGGCTTGTGGTCGTCGTTGTCGGGCGGCGGTCGCTTCGTCTCGCGCGCCACGTCGGGCTACTTCGTCCACCTCTTCGGCTTCCGCTACTGCTGCCTCGTCGTGGTCGTCCTGCACGTCATTGTTGTGCGCACCTGCTGGCCTACATGTCCCAATTTCGTTTTAATGCGATCAAAAATTAACTTTTTTCGACTTGAATTTGCCTTGAAATTAACTCGCTGGGCTGCGCTAGCGAAAACTGCTCGCTGTTTCTTTGCTGGATGAAATAATCTGGCAATTTTGTTAAGATAACGGTATCATCTTCATCATTGTTCGATACTCATTTTTTTATATTTTATGTTCTTTTATTATCATTTTATTATGTCGCATTTCCTCCTTACATCGCCGTTTTATGACCACATTGTCATCAGTTCACAGTGACGGCAAGCTTCATGTTGTGTGAACTGTTGGGGGGCAAAAGGTCCCCTACAGGGGGAGGGGATCCCCCTCACCCCCTACCGGGGAGCTGCATGAAATCGTGTGATGATGACGCCCCCACCATCACCGTTATCACCACCACCACACCATCAGAAGCTATGGCGTCTAAAGCAGTTCGTAGTGACTGCGTACATAATGGCGCTCTTTATCGTTTATAGTGTTAATCGTATCGTGTTTCGTCTCATGTAACGTATGAAATTGTTCGTGCTAAATGACGTTTCTCTTCCGCATCTTTGAACATTATTTATTCAATATATTTTTTGTGCATATTTTATGATAAAATTGACAATTAATGCACGAAATATTCCGTGCAGATCACAGTTCCGCGGCCGCAAGTTGTCGTGAACTTCTCCGACTGTTTGGACTTCACTCCTATTAGGTGGGTCACGGCACACCTGTTAGGTGGGTCAGGGCACTCCTGTTAGGTGGGTCACGGCACTCCTATTAGGTGGGTCAGGGCACTCCTGTTAGGTGGGTCACGGCACTCCTATTAGGTGGGTCAGGGCACTCCTGTTAGGTGGGTCACAGCACTCCTGTTAGGTGGGTCAGGGCACTCCTGTTAGGTGGGTCAGGGCACTCCTGTTAGGTGGGTCAGGGCACTCCTGTTAGGTGAGTCACATCACTCCTCTATTAAATATCTATTTTATTTCTGTTCACACATTACCATAAAAAATCCCATTTAAACGCTTGTTTCAAAAGTGGAATAACTTGACTACGATCATTCATAATAACTGTAGTAAATAGAAAAATGAAATTAATATTTATTATTACCTAATAATAGCAAAACCAAGCTGGTTGCCCTATTCTGGGCAACGAATGTTATTTGTAGAAAAAGTTTGTTACAATATTCTAGAGGACCTCATTGATGACGTGGGGTTCATTNAAGCTGTTGTTTGCTGTGCAGCGCTTCATGAAGCTGACATGTGCTGTGAAACGCTTCATGAAGCTGACATGTGCTGTGCAACGCTTCATGAAGCTGACATGGGCTGTGCAACGCTTCACGGAGCTGACATGTGCTGTGCAACGCTTCACGAAGCTGTTGTTTGCTGTGCAGCGCTTCATGAAGCTGTTATGTGCTGACTGAAGTCGCACAAATTTCCCATTTCATGGCTGTAATAGGGCGACCAACAGGACTCCTGTTATCCTACGCTAAGTAGAGCGCTAGGTCCTGAGTTCCAGGAATCTCGTCTGTAAGTAAAAAATTGCTAAAAGTGTTCATCTACCGCCTCATTCTGGCAGAAAATTCCTTCTGGTCCTCAGAAAATTCATTCTGGTCTTAACTCATTTATAGGCTGTTCATGGAACTGATTACTTATTAGCCTTGCTCAAATCACCAAGTTCTTGCATTATTTTTTTTACCTGTGCCATAATTCACACAAATTCATCCGTGATAGATTAACTTGATTATTGCTGAGCACCTAGCAGACGTGAGAGAATTTTCCGCTATCACAACAAATTTCAGGTCCCAAAATTTAAGTCTTGTCAGCGATGCCTATTGCTCTTGACGTACTGCTGATGGCGTATTCGTTCTCAGTTGTTAACCGAAACCATGAAATTGTGCCTATGATATGTAATATTTTTGTTATCTGTGTTGCAGTGTGTGTGGGAAGCTAATAATTGTGATTCGCATATTCTACTGAACTTTCTCGAGGTTCAAATTTTGGCAGCTCTTGAAGTGTAATGTCGAGGTTTTTTTTTTTTTGCTCAGTTAGCCACAACTAATTAATTCACGTGATGTTCAATTAACAATTTAAACATCAAGATTAGGTAAAGGCTATCCTAGATCCATTAACTGTAAATTCAAAGTCCTGTTCATATATTTTTATTGTTGTTCGCTATTGTTCATAGATGCAAAAATAGAAATCATATTGCAATAGATTTGGCAGTGAAACAAATACGAGGCAGACGCTAGAGGAAATGTAGCAAGTTGAACATATTTTATGTGTTAAAGAGATATATTTATTGATAAACGTTTGTTGATCACTGAAAAATCAATGACCTGCACCAACCAAACGAGGTTAATTGAGACACATAATAGGTTATTTTTTTATTCATAAATACGTAGGTTATGAAATTAGTTGCCGTACCTTCTTAATTACATGACTTGAAACTTTTTAAGCTGCATCGAAAAGAAATGACTTATAGTTGGTTATTAAATATAGTAATTACGATAATTATATTAATAAAACAGTACATAAATTCTTACTTCCACGTCGCAGGGTACGGTCATATTTACGTCGTAAAAGATTCAATAGACGCCTCATCGGCCGTTATACGCGTTCAAAATACTAAAATATGTCTAGCATCAAATGTTAATCATAGCAAACGGCCATTAACAAAACATTTGTGGTATTTCCCTCCATTTCTCTTCACTCAAAGAAATGGCTGGGACTTGCGCAAATTTTCAACTCGCTTTTTGCACTGTGTGGGTCATTCTGACAGTTTCACTTGACTGTGGGATGAAGTAGTTTGATTTTATTGAAGTTAAAGTTTGTTCTTTATTAGTAAATCCAGCGAGGCTTCTCACAACGCAGAGTATACCCATTTGTACCATCAGCATTACTTCATTTATTAAAATTTTTTCGTTAAACTTTAGTTCATTAAATAGATAATCAAACGCGCATTTTGAATGAAACACAAAATTATTAAAAAAATGACCTGAACGATGCTACCATAATATCTGTAGTTAATTCATTAGTCATTTCAAATAATTAAGAACAATAGTCAAGTAATTAACAACAGCAAAATGTACGTTCCCGTCCACATAAAATAGCTGCATAATTATAAAAAAAATTATTCCATTTCATAAAATTTTCGCCGACACATAACGTAACGTACATCAAGTTGACTTCAAGTTGGTCATATCTAAGCTACATTATTGTGATTATCCTTATTAATTTGTATTATTATTATTGTCACTCGTTTTATCTTTGTCAAGCGTTAATAGGGACAAACAAGGCGGAGCCGCTGCAGTTACTGCACAACTATACATATTCAGGCAAATATTATTAAGATGCAACGGGTTTACAACACAACATATGGAACATTTGCTGCCTCTTCGAGTTAATAATTCCATCGCATTCATGCCATAATAAAAAAAATATGTAACTCAGTACTCACTGCAGTGAGTGACAGAGCGCGAATTTTCTCGTCGACGAAAACTTGAGGTCACAGACAGACGGACAGCCAGATAGACGGAGGAACATGGCGAGCACAATAGTGCATTTTTTTCATAAATGAGAAAATGCGCAAATAATTACTTCAAAACCAGCGGCCAACGTGAATGCTTGAGGAACTTGCATCGTGATTGCCACGTGTACACTTAGAAAAAAGAATGTGTCATTTTTGTACGAATATGAACACGTGCATGTAGCACCAAGACGCTCTTTTGCAAGGTCGAACTGGGTCTGGATTACCTTCACAAGAGCAAAAAGTACGTCATTATTTGGACAAAGTATCATTAGTTTTTAGCGCATTTTCTCATTTATGAAAAAAATGCACTATTGTGCTCGCCACCTAGATAAATGAGCGGGACTTTGTCCCAATAATGATGCACTTGATGCCCTTGCGTGGGCCATCTTAATACTGTTGGGCCAAGCAGGAGGGCGTATCCGTGCTACGTGCACAAAGTATGTCACTATTAGGACCTTATGATCCATTCATTCTTCAGAGTGCGGCTAAAGTTGTAGCGTTGTTAGAGCGTTTGTAGTTTGAACTTCAACAGATGAAGTTACCCACTAAAAATAGTAAAGCAAACAAGACGAGGTGAATATGAACTAAACATAATAGTGAACACGATGGATTCATCACAACTCGTTTAATTAAGTACAACTCTAACGCTCCCGAACCTGAAAGGCACTTGGACCTGTATATGCTAACGCTCCTATTGGTCGAGGAACGCTGCATCAAACACATGAAGATCGCAGAAATGAACAATTTAAAATTAATCTTCAAGTTTCCCACATGAAATAATGCACCCAATTGCATCTGCCATGAGTGATCAAACGTCAAAATTAAGTACGAAACAGAAATTCGAATCAGTTAAAAACTAGAGTTGAAATAAATGATTCACGTTTTAATTAAAGATAGGAGAATTCATGCGTGAACTTTGATGTACAAGCGAAGAAATTTTCAACGTAGAAACGAAATAAAATTTGCGCGTATCTCATTAGGCGTCGACTCAATAGGCCGTTAGCTTCTGTCGGAGGTATGACAGCAGCGTGAGGAATGAACTGAGGCATGGGCAGGATTGAACGGGACTGGGAACTTACGACCTAGAATTGACTTTTGCGTGAGGTAAGATAAAATGCATCAACTTTCCATCATATATGTGGGCAGGAACTGAGTTCGAGTTAATTTCTTTATACTAGACCGCCGTTAAAGTTCTGATTATTCGTTCGGGAACTACGAACCACAATGGCATTTCTTCGTAAACATTTGAACTGTTCCTCATGTACGCTGCTCACTTTTGAAGCTTGAAAATAATTTTTTCACAAATCTTCGCTATTCAAAGAGTTGTTTAAAGTAGCACCACTCGGGGACTCCAAGTTATTCTTATAGATATCATGGCTAAAAGATGAGACGCTATCACTGATACCACCTCGCTGTTTCGAGGTACCACCAACAGATGGTATACTAGTACCACCGATGCTGGTTGTGGTGGTGGATGGGGTGGTAGTTTGTGACATTAGAAGGTGGTAAGGGGTGTTCAGTAGACCAGACGTGTTCATATGGAAGTCATTGAAGGGGGAAGATAGAGGAACAGGTAGACCGACCAATGGCGGGGTCTTGGAAATTATAGGGTAGGGGCTTATATGATGTGACATGAAATTAGGATTATTGCTATGTGCATATAAGCTTAGGTTACTAGCGTTACTAGTATTACAAGGTAACGAGGAAAACATAGAAGGTAAGTTGTTAGGGTAGTTATTCTTAGCGTTGTTGAGGGATGCGTTAGTATGTGTTTCAGCAGGAACAGCATGATTACTACAACTAGAGTGAGCGGCAGATATATCATTAGAAACAGATGCCGTAGCAATAGCGTTCGGATTAAAATATTGAGAAGTCGTAAAAGTAACATTATGACTAAAACTAGCAGCTGCCTCAGGTATGGCATTAGAATTATAAAGCCCCGTTGGCAACGAAATAGCACTTACATTTGAGCAAAGATTCATCGTAGGAATGGCATTAGTAATGTTAATTGGAGGAGTGCTGGAGGCTGCAATATCGAAGATAGAATTAGCCGTAGGAATAACATTGGAATTAATAATAGAAGGTGCTGTGGTTATAGCTAGAGGGAAGCTCGAAGCAGGTCCTGCCGATGGAACGTTCTGGATGGCGTGGCGCTGACCAGCTTGAGGAGCAACACTGAAGGGGTTAACGAGGGTTGGAGGTAGAGTAGAACCCGGGGTAAACAACGCGGTAGGGTTGATTGGGGTCGGTGGCAGAGCAGAATCCGGGGTAAATAACGCGGTAGGATTGATTGGGGTCCGTGGCAGAGCAGAACCCGAGGTAAATAATGCGGTAGGGTTAAGTGGAATCGGTGGCGGGGCAGAACCCTGACCAAACGATGAGCAACTGTCAGCGCCTTCACTAGTCAATTTCATCTCTTGTCTGGACGGCCTCCTCTTCTTCTTCTTTGATTTCATTGGCGTCAGCGATAGAGGTTCCGATTTAAAGTCCGCTGGGGGATGGGAGCTGTGAATGCCATTACCGCCGGCCTTTGAAGGGGTCGAGTGCAGTATTGGAGTTGGGCACACCGACAAGGAAGGAGTTTGGACCTCGGTATTCTTGTCATCTTTAATGTTCGCTTCCACCGAGTGACCATTTTCTGAAGTATAATGCGGGGTGGGGCCAGTGGCTGGCGTCGGGTATGATCTTTCCAGGGAGGTTGCAGGAAAGGAATTGGATGAAATCGAGGAAATTAGCTCAGCTGGTAATGATTGGTTGAGTCGTTCTGATGCATTCCCCACCTCAGATGTTGTCCGATAAGAGACTACCTTAGGAACATACTCGGCAAAATCAACATGTTTAGGAGGAGCTTGATAGGCTGGTGCGCGGAGATCTGAATTAGATTTTGAAGGGGATTGGCTAAATGAAGGAGTTTTCGATAGTCGAGGTTCTTTCAAGTTCATGGCAGTAGACGAGGGCATAGAAGAAGACCTTGACAAATTAACTGTTGGGTTGGAAACTGCAAGAGGCGTTCTGTGCTTAGCATTCGAGAAGCCAGCAAGACTGGCTAAAGCAGAGAAGACACCAATTGAATGACGCTTTACAAACTTCTTTTTCTTCTTACTTTCTACTTGCTCAGATTTTTTAACATCTTGCTTCTTGCCATCTACGGGCACGTTGATCTCTACGTTTTCCTTGCCATCAACACTTTGCGTCCAAGATGAGGAGGAGGAGATCTTGGCCTCTGAGGTGTCCAAGATACAGTAACTCTTCTTTAGTGAGTTATACGACGTACATAAATCGATACCATCGCTGCCTACCAGGACTCCAGTGCAACCGAACTCGGGGACTTCAAGTTCTTTTCGGTACGCGACGTCTCCTACAGATGAACCAAACCTGACAATAGCTCCTCGGTTTGCAATATTATCGACACCGGATCGTTTTTGATCTTCCGCGCATTGGATTTGCGGATTTGGAGCTTCAGCCCGATCACGCGCACAGTCCATCTCTAAAGGTAATCGCTTTTCCTGGGATTTAGTTTCGTCAACCTCAACATTTGAACAAGTTTTTGCCTCTTGAAGGAACAACGCATTTCCATTAGACCAGGAATGTAGCTGACTTTCCTCTGCACGAACTTGTGCCTGACCTGAAACATGCGTAAAATCCTGAACGGGAACTTTAGCCGCAGTACTTACGATCTCCAGACTAGAACTCTTTTGGATTTCAAGGTCCGTTTTGGCATCAGGTGCTCGATATGTTTTCTTGTGTGTAGGAATGTGAAGCGAACGTGAGCGGATACAGGTAACGTGATTCCTCGTGAGGTCGTCAACGCGATGCTGAGTTGAAGTACTCGGTAGAGTGAAGCACTTGAGGCTGCGATGGGTCAACTTTCTAGGAGGCTTTGCGGGTGGGACAATTTTTTTCGCACTTTCCAATGACGGTACGTAGGTTTCGTCTCGACATATGGGATTTTGTAATATACATAATTCTGATCTTGTGCTTTCGTTTGGGACGCGAGTATTTAGTCGTAAGTGGGACTCAAATGCTACTTTCAACACGTCATCGCTGGCAAGAATTTCAGCATCATCCTTCTTATCTACGATATCTGATTTCTGCAGACGATTGCGACGAGTTTCAACCTCGTCGGCAGGATGCCAGGATAAGAGTGACGATGAGCCAGACGAGACAGAGACCACTTCACACTCATCTCCATCGTCTTCGCTGTCGCTGCAAGACTTCGTCGGTGCTTCCATTAATTTCTTGTGAGAAGACGATGATAAGATCAAAGCAACAGGTGACGATGTAATGTTAACAACAGACCTGACGTGGGTCTCAGTCTCACTGCAAACCGTCGGAGACGAAGCAGAAACATCGACAGGGGAAGGAGGAATACAAGAAGACGATGTTGGGGCAGAAGCGGAGACACCAGAAGACGATGGCGCGCAAGAAACAGGAAACGCTTGATCGCGAATGGATGACGTGGCTGCGTCAGAACAAGAATTATGTACTTGGACTTGGATTTTAGTCCCTTGGGGATACGATGCGGGGGGAGATGGGGATGAACCTGAGTAGCACTCCTGGTTGTGGGTTGTGGGGAGAGGTTTTTCCTCCTGGTTCGGGACAATAGAAAGAAGTTTTTCCTCTTGGTTGTGGGTTGTGAGGAGAGGTTTTGCCTCCAGGTTTTGGGTTGTGGAAAGAGGTTTTACCTCCTGGTTGTCGGTTGAGGAGAAAGGTTTTTCCTCCTGGTTCGGGATAATAGAAAGAAGTTTTTCCTCTTGGTTGTGGGAAGTGGGGAGATGTTTTGCCTCCTGGTTGTCGGTTGAGGAGAAAGGTTTTTCCTCCGGGTTCGGGACTAAAGGAAGAAGTTTTTCCTCTTGGTTGTGGGTTGTAAGAAGAGGTTTTTCGTCCGGGTTGTATGGTGTGGAGAGAAGGTTAGGCTCCTGGTTGTGGGGTGCGAGGGGACGTCTACCTTTTCGGTCGCGGGTTGTAAGGCGAGGTTGTCCTCGATGGTTGTAGGTTGCAGCGGGTGGTGGGGTTAAATAAGCGTTGCAGCTCACAGCTGGGTTACCTTAGAAGCCAAAGCAAGGAGCGGGTTAAGGTAGGTGGATCAACCATAAGCAGCACTATTAACCCATGATCGAGCAAAGCGATGGAAGCTAACGTTACTCAAGACTCTGGGTCTGGTTGAACAAAAAAGACTTGTTCGTTTGTATAGAAGCCACCAAGGTTATTTTTAATCATGGAGATTTTTATTTGAATTTTAGAACAATGAAACCAAATTGAAAAATAATACGTTGAGAATTGGGAATATCGCCTGACAGTCTTGCTCGATAATGGGTTGTGTAGAAATATATTTACAATAAAAAGGTCGAAAAAATTAAAAATAAATTAGAAAATTAGTCTGAACCAGCGTCGCGTGTGTTGACGATGGTAGGGCTGTGATGGTAGGGCTGTGATGGTGGGGCTGTGAAGGTGAGGCTGTGATGGTAGGGCTGTGATGGTAGGGCTGTGATGGTAGGGCTGTGATGGTGGGGCTGTGATGGTAGGGCTGCTGTGATGGTAGTGTAGAATATTGGTAGAGCAATAGAGAAAATTTCTTAAACTAAATCAATATTAGTCACAATACAAGCATGATGAAAGGATCAAAACATTATTAAGTGCAACATTTATGTGTTTTGCTTAAAGAAAATTTGTGACTGACTAGACGTGGATTATTTGTTAAATAAAAAGGCTATGCAAATCATATTAAAAGCGAAATATTCTAGGAATCAGCATAATATTTACAAAAAAAAAAACATGAAGAGAAGAACGAAAGTTAATGTGGAATATGATTGAAATCATATTCTCATGACAAGGGTAATGACCGNGAAGTAAACAATGTTTATAGCTAAAAAAAGAGAAATACTGTTTAGAAAGAAAGAAGCGGTAAAGATTGAATTGAACTTGTTAATTAAATAACATAAAAATTAAAAATATAGTTAAATAAATAATGTAGGATGTTAGTTAATACTTGTTAATTGATAGACAGTTATTGCAGCGAGAACAATCAGCTAACTCTACCAGATCCACGTGAAGCGTTTGGCTTTCTTGCTTGCCTTCACTATCCCCACAACCGCTCCCTCATCATCACTAACATCACTTTTACCTGCACCCTTACTCATCACATTCCCACCATACTTCACTTCATCATCAACCTCATCACCACAACCAAGCTCGCCGGTCTTAGAATTCCGACCGAAAATCCTAACGTCAAAAACTCCGAAACTGAAGCGCCGAAAAACCTTCTTGTTTTTCTTCTTGGTTCGAGGATTTCTGGTCAAGCCTTGTGACGTGGTTCGTTCCGACGGCGAAATATCATCGACGTAAAACGTGGACGTTGATCGGCAACTTGGTTCGTGATCACCAAAGGGTGCGTCAGAAAACGGTTGCCGCGTTTTCCAGCCCGCGAGCAACGTTCGCGCGCGCCAGGGTCTAGCGTTGGGAACGTCCCTGAGATGAGAAGGAACGTTAACGCTCGTGGTAGAGTGCAGGCGGCGTTCAAGTAACGCGTTCTTGATGTTGTCGGAGGCCGTTGAACCAAGAACATCTTCCACTGACGACCGACCACTCGAAGAAACTCCAAAGAACTCAACGACTTCGTTCCTCGTGAATCCTTTGATGAGATCGGCATGTATGGGTGCGTCTCCCGAGTGCGGGTTGTCCCTTTTTTCGAGTTTCTTCGAAGATTCAGAAGAGAATTTTTTTCCTGAGTCTAAGTGACACTGCAAAGGAGATACAGGACAAGATTTTCTTGAAGTTTCTACGTTTAATTCTGCATCCAAGTGGTGATTGAAATCCCTTCGACATTCAGGACTGGAGTCAATTGAAGATTCAGGCCAATATTCTCTGCTGAATTTGTGATGAAACTGTTGAGTAGATTCATCATGGAAACGTTCAGGACAGCGATTCTCGCGAGACTCTGGGCCAGAGGAATCTTTGTACTCACCACCAGATTCCTGGGCGGAATACAAGCAGGATTCACTTGACCCAACAGAATCCTTATCAGGATACCCGTCGGTAACTCCCACCATGTTGGATACGGAGGCCGCTTTTTGTCCTCTACAGCGTGGAGCTGGCTTAGGTTTGGTCCTAAGAGCGTAAGTTTTCTCGTAGTCCTCCCCTGAGAGGTAAGTAAACTCGGGGCTGTCTTTGCTCTGGCGCTTTGCCTCGGCAGACTTAGATTTGTCCCCTGCTACGTTGATCGCCGAAGATGAATTTGTGAACGAAGGATTTTTCAGTTTCCAGCGCGAAAATGCGTTACGTTTCACATTTTTCAGGGCTTTTTCAATGCCCAAGCTGTCGTAACTTTTAGGCTTTTTAGGCGCTTTCGAGTTTTTCTCATCACTTGGTTTCTCCGAATCAGCAAAAATCCAATGACTATAGGCTGCGCTTTGTTCAGTTTTATTGAAGTTTTTAGGCTCTCTGGCTTTCCCAGATTCGATGAGATTCAATGCTGCATTTGGTTTAATAAATTCACATTTACCAGACTCTGGCAGCACTGGTGCAGACTCTGGCAGCACTGGTGCAGACTCTGGCAGCACTGGTGCAGACTCTGGCAGCACTGGTGCAGACTCTGGTAGCACTGGTGCAGACTCTGGCAGCACTGGTGCAGACTCTGGCAGCACTAAAGGTACAGCTTCAGTCTTAGGTCGGTAGACACACGGGATTTCTTCAGATGAAAAGACCAGTTCCTCGACCAAAGTTTTAGCGCAGCATCTGCTAGAACTTTCTAGAGAAGAACTCTTTAGATAAGGTTCAGCTATCATAAGATTACTTTCACTATCAGGAAAATATTCTTTTTGAATGTGATCGGCATTATAACCATTGCATATATTAGAGGTTTTGTCCAGATGAGGCACATTTTTAGTTGTGGCAATTTCTGTGACTTCTTTCGCATAAACTTCGGTGCAGGAAGGCGGCAGAAATTCAGCGTTGACTTCAACAGAGAACTCGGATGTACCTTCCAAAGTGAGGGAATTGTTGACAACAACTGAAGAGTTTTCTGTTTGGCTGACTGATTGAACTTTTTCTTTGTTACACACAGGAATTTTATCCTCATTAGCAACAGGATCTTCCTTGATACATCCTACGGATACAGGTTCGTCCCCATGTAACATGAAGGCTTCAAGAGCTGCTTTGAGGTTCTCCTCTAGGAGGGATCCTCTCCTGCCAGGGGGACTTGAAGGAATGTGGTTCTCCCTAACATCTCCTGCAACATATCCATCAGGAAGGATGTCTGTAGGATACAGTAGACTGCCCACATTTGCCTGTATATCCACCGCAGCCGCACCTTTAGACAAGTCGGTCATGGAATTAAAATTTCCTGTAGATTCTACGTTGAAAGAAGGAACAGTTGATAAGTTGGTGGCAGATTCTACAAGACAAGAGGATGAATTGTCTGCAGGTCGCACGTCATCCATGCATCTTTCCGAATGATCTTCAGTTGATTCTGCAGCACGAAGAGAACCTGTAACAAGTTCAGCCCGTTCCGAAGTGCTGTGTGAAGTGCTGCGTGAAGTGCTGCGAAGTGCCCCGACAGTTTCTTCATGATGAACCAAGGTAGGTGGATCTAGACGCACACCAGTTGTGTGGACTGAAGGTAAGGAATACACGTCAAGCTTAGGGATGCTGAAGCCACTTTCGTCTTCAGCCACGAAGGATCTTTGGAAAATGTCATCCGCCATGCGGGATATCTCGTCCATACTGATCATCCGTTCCATCTCCCCAGCGTTGCGATGAATTGAATCAACTTCTGCATCAACATCACATTCATCACAAAGGTCATCATTCTGATCAAGATCACCATGGCTATGTCGATCGTTTTCGTTCGTATAATTGCTTACAAAATATCGCTGATATTCACCACGTTCTCCTTCATTCATCATCCTCAGGTCTAACTTCCAATCATCACATGATGATTCAAGCCTTGATTCATCACTCACACCACATTCAACATCACACAAAGCATCACTAATATTTCCGGCAAGTCCAATCTTTTCGTTGGTTGAGTTTTCAACCCTAGCATCAACATTGTTCTCAGCAACACTGTTCTCCACCACATTGTTCTCATCAGTCTCGCCATAACATCTTTCTACGCCCCCAGCAAACGTACCCAAAACCCCGGTCTGCTCAGTTAAAAAAATATACATACCAAAAAGAAAAAAATTAAGTAAAGAGAATTACAACGAAATCAAAATAACTCAATAATATACGAAATCGTACAAACGGTAAAATAACAAGAAATAATCCCACACGACACGACACATTACGATGCGTCGTAAGGACGCATGCACCATTACAATGAAGACAAGACGATGCAGCAGCAATGTTGACCATGACGCGAGGTGGTGACGAAGAGTGATGGTGCCGTGGCCCGTGAAGCAACAGCAAAGCGAAACAAAAAATATAATTTAGTGCACAAGCTAAAAAAAAAACAATAATACCCACACAAACATAACAAATCAACTCCCAAAGAATAACAATAAATGACATCCATGTCCATGGGCACTCTTATAAACAAAACATGAACGAACATGATATTGGATAATGTGCTCAGTTTCGGCAGTCAGCAAATCTAAACTCTATGGTGGCTAGTGATTAAAACAATGAAAAATTTGCATAAATAAAAAACCAAGCGTGTGAAAGCAATTCATATTATAAGTGAATGAGATAAGTTTACAGATATAGATATGTATCTAAGAACCGTATTGGCATCTATTTTTGAAACCAAGGAGATTGGAATGAACGGCACACAAAAGATACCACACAATAGATAACACGTGGATGGAATGGAAACAATTCCAACAGCTTCTGTATGCACGATACAATGAGTAGACTGGGGCCATACTTTCAAAACTCGCTAAGTGAACGTAAGTATTTACGCTCTATTTTCTTGTCTATGATTGGTGGATTTTGCTTGAAAGGCCGTCAATGATTGGCGATCTCTTAACTTTTTTTGAAAGTATAGGCCCTGGTCGACAATTAAGCCTCCCTGTCTAGTCATCTTAAATCACAAACACAATGAAGATGATGCACGTGGTGAATATAATGAACATGATGCACGTAGTGGTGAACGTGATGAACAATATCAACATGATGAGCATGATGACGCCATGCCATGAGCAGATGTACAATGTCCAGCAGACACCATTAATAAATACAAATCATAAAGAAAGATTTACTACGATAGTCAGAGCTACAGAAGATTATTGGTGAGGAGGTTATTGATGATGTAAACAGTGAGTTAATTACTGGTGAAGTTACTAGTGTGTTTACTGGTGATAATAATAATAATGATAAGAACAATGATAATCTATAATACTGGATGGGACAAAATGAGGCTTCACCTGAGCATCTCTGCCGTGGTTATCGTCAGTAGGCCGCTGGCAGCGGTGGAGGGAAGACGTGTCGTCGTGGACGCTCTGAAAAATAATACCATAGAATACTCCCGAATACAGAATCATTGCAAGCAATNTCATATTATCATCGTCCAAATTTGCTCACCAGCGATGATGCCATCCTATTATCATTGTCCAATTTGCTCACCAGCGATGATGCCAGGCTGATGCCAGTGCTGCATCTGCAGCAGTTGTGCGTTGAGCTCCGCACAGAGCAGCTTGCTCTGGTGCAGCTGTTGCCGCAGCTCACTCTTCTCCTGCAGCAGCTGTGACAACTGCTCCTGCAGCTGCAGCACAATCTCTAGCAGCTGCTGCTGGGCACCTGCAAGCATGTAATTTGTTGATATCAACATAGTCAATAGTCTCTTCTGTAATATTCAATTTTTGACAAATGTATAACATCTATGATAAAGTAGCATGAGACATGCAATGGAATATAGAAAAAAAAATTATTTTAAATATGAGCAAACCAGATGTTAATCTCACTGCACAGCATTAAATGACATCACAATAAATAGAAAGCATTCCATTTATATCCATTCAGAGTAAATCATAAATGAAATGTGCAATCATAAAGTCTAACATGCCAATATTCAAAAAAAAAAAAAAAAGATCAGCAATGCCATGAAAATTAAATTTTAAAATCAATTTTTTTATTATATACAAACACCAGAATCAGGACAGTTATATATAGGTACTGGTACTGGTAGGCAATTCCTGCTGGAAGTTCATGATAAAAAGCTAAGACTAATACTGACTGCACAGCAAATGGGAATATATATAAATATCATCAGTAACATTTATATCCAAGATATCTCATTATATATCTGTAACAGTTACTATATATTAACTTACTTGAAGTAGAATCATTCAGCAAGTTTAGGGAGGCAGCAGGATTTAATGAGCCTCTAAGCTCAAGATTTCTTTCTCCAGAGCGCTTTCCATTTTGGTTGACTTCATGTATCCCCTCTTGAAGATACATCTCACTGGCTGGTTGAGGGGCCCCATGGGGTTCACATGAGGGGCTTGGCAGAGGGAGGCTAGAGTAATCAATGGGGCTGATCCGGTGCTGCACTTTTAACTCGGCAATTTCTCTGTCGTCTAAAATTGGGTTTGATAAATTATTGCACAATGACTCATCTCTCTTCAGGGCAAGAGCTTCTTCAAAGAAATTTTGAGTTGAAAATGACTGCCTGTTGAGAGTTTCAAGTTGGACTAGGTGGTCAACTGAAGGAAACTTCTGACCAGTCTCACCAGAGGCACGATCAACACAAGGCAACTTATCAAGGCACGTCATGTACAGACTGGTTTCAGGAACATTCATTTCTCCAGCACCTGATTCTATCACATCAACTATACTTTCACTAGAAGCAACTAATGCACTTGGTGTAGTCCTTAAACTATCACAATGACTGCCATTAGCACCTTTATTATTGCATTTTTTGGGGAAAGACTCGGATCTATAATCAAGAAATTGGCCATTGTGGGAGTGCTTGTCAGTTTCAGCAGACAAACATTCATTAAAAAGGACTGATGAATCAGTTTGTCCACTCACAGAAACACTTTTCACAGTATGAGCTGCACAGTGACTAGTATTGGAATATGAAGAATCATTCTTGATAAAATCCTGGCAATCATTCATAGCTTCATATTCATTAAATGACATCCCAGAAACTAGGCCGGATTTTATGAAATTTTCTTTAGGGGCTTCAGGAACTGCTGACCTTTCATTTCCTTTCAAAATTCTATCACTTTCTAAAGCATCAAAGTTCATTTCTGTTGTATGAACTGTTGCTTTAACTTCATTAACAGTAAGGACAGTGGGGACAGATTCAGGCATGTTGAGCTTATCATATGATGTGCCTAGCATTGCTCACATGCCAACTGGCCATCAACATACTGTACTACAACTATTATCTGCAAATGAAGCATAACCATAAAATAATATGCAGATATTCAGAGCAACAAAACTTCTAAATAATAAAATTCGTGTTGTATCGACTCCAAAAACTGATGCAACGATGTCACACTGGGAGTTTAAAGGTTTTAAATTAAAGCAAGCAAGAGATGCCAAATCATCAAGGCTAAATCCTAAATGTGCCTGTTTGGCTGGGGAAAAACAATTTTGCATCATTGCAATTTGCAGTGCAATGAAAATTGGAATGCAATTGCACCCTGTCCTGAGGCTTTCCAATCGTAAGCATTCATAGGTCAATTAATATTTTTAATATAATGTTATGGCAAACAGCTACCCTCAAATGGTGTAATAAGGGATGATTTTGAGCATTTTTTAATAACTTCTTACCATGAAACATATCATGAACAAATTTGGGCTCATTTTAAAGGTATTTGCAAAGGCTATCTTATGGCATCTCTGAAAAAATTTCATATGCTATTTGTAAGGTGCCAGACACAATATAAAAGCCCCCTGAACTAACCTTGGAAATGGGGTAATAAGGGACACTTGAAATTAAACTTAATTCTAAAACGTTTGAAGCATGCAGAGTGTACTCATCCATTACTAACAGTACTCTGAAGTCCTCCTCTTCCTTTATATATGATGTAAATGTAGAATAAATAACATTTTCTGTGATTTTTACTCGTTTTTCTTTTATGATACGATATTACCTTATCCGAACATTACCATATTATTGATGCAATATTACCTAATCCATGGACATGCCATTGAGCATTAACAACAACCTAGTCCACTGCAAGCTTTATATCAGCAGCCATGTAGCATTTCTCCTGTGTCTATAAGTGCACAGGACAGCTTGTAATCTTGCACCATTTTAATTGAGTCAAGCGAATTCACTATAACAAAAAAGATTGTAAAAAGCATTCCTGAAACAGAGAGGAATATTTGAGTGACAACCATCATATTTTTTTGAGAAAAAATCAAAGTTTTGGTTAATTACTTTTCATTTTATGTTGCCCGGTGAATAATTCTATGACATTCTCAGCACAATTTTGTGATGACTGATGTGCATTGATTTTTTTCAAGTGAAATTTTTACTGAGCGAGGTAAATGTAATCAAAATTCTTTGTTGTTCATTGATTATTTAGTTAACTGGAGCCTTTACTAACCATGGTTCTACTGTAAATGCATTTTTAGGAGTGTCCCTTTTACCCCACGGGGGGTCCCTTATTACCCCATCATGCATAAATGGCTGCCTTTTTTGGAATGAGCTATGCAATTTCTGTCAATCATGTTTTTAAGCCAACACCTGTGGCTGTGTGCAACTTTTATGCAAGTAAAATTTTTTAATATAGCAAATATTTTTTTTGCTAGACCTTAGCAGAGGTACTTTTCCAAAATCTCAGTTTTCACTTTTTTCAGGGATTTTTTAAAGGTAGTAAATGAAAGATTTCTCAACTTACTTTATGCTAAATAGATAGTAAAAAAAGTTGAACTTTATGCCACTTTTTTTAGTTTTGCAATATTTTGATTAGTTTAGCTGCTAGCCTGCTGCAACATTTCTACAAAATGTTGGAGGACTGACCCTTGTTAACCCTGGCGGCCTGGCCATCCCTTATTACCCATTTGACAGTATACTGGTATTACTTTAGACTAAGTGCATCCAAAAAAGGGTGTTTTTTTAATTATATGTTTTTTGAGATGTAGATTAAGAATCTGAAATCCGTTTTTGGCGGTTGGCATTGGAAAACTGATTTTTTTCCAATTTTTTATATATTTTCTATAGAAACAACAATGGGGGGACTCATGAGGAACCAGGGGTTTTAGGGGGGGGGGGACACGCCCGAGGCTCTAATTTGTCAAAAAAAAAAAAAATTGGGCAAAAGTTGGTGAAAAATTGGAAAAAATCAGAATTTTTTTTTGACTGGAAATGGTCTATATCTATCTGGGAATGACTGTAAACCTATGTAAAACCCAAAAATCATGCTAGGTTAGGTTAGGTTGATATAGATCATTTCCAGTAAAAAAAATTTCCAATTTTTTTCCAATTTTTTGCCAATTTTTGCCCGATTTATTATTTTTTTTTATGAATTAGAGCCGCGGGCGTGTCCCCCCACCCCTAAAACACCCAGTTCCCCATTGTCGTTTTCAATAGAAAATATATAAAATATCAGAAAAAATTGGTTTTCCGATGCCAACCGCCAAAAACGGATTTCAGATTCTTAATCTACACCCCAAAAAACATATAATTAAAAAAAACTTTTTTTGCATGCACTAAATCTAAAGTTTTACCCAGTATACTTATACTATTAGCAAACACTGAGGTGACATGATGCCATCTATCCATTCTGGAAAATTGGGGCAGAAGCCACCTGTGAATTTAAGAAAATGCCCATGCGCCATGCCCATGCTTGACGAGCTTGTAGGGTAAACGCTGTATATTCCGACATCATGGGTAATTCTGATTTACGACACCTCTCGTTTTTCCTTTATATTAAGCTTTGTTTTAGTTCCATGCATTCGTTGATGGTTGAAATAGTGACGTCATACATTTGCGCGTCAAACTACTGCCAAAACACTAGGTCTGGGCCATCTAGCGGGAAAATGTTGAAATCCAAAGAGAGACGGTGCATGCCACCCAATGAGATCATCGAAAAATGTGTCAAAGTTGACAGTTGACCTTGCTCTACCAAATAGTGATAAACTGTTTGTGTAGAAAGAATATTATGGTT